TCCTCAGATGTTCCTCAGAGGTTCCTCAGAGTTCCTCAGAGATCCTCAGAGATCCTCTGTGCAGAGAAGGAGGTTCTAGCGGAGGGACGTCCAAACTTCCTCCTCAGGTAGAAACTCTGTGATACAAAAGGCCGATGAGGAAGAGGAGCAGAGGAGAAGGTCTCCTGATAATCCAGAAAGTGAAGCTGCATCCTTTCATGTTCATGGAGACGTTCATCTGATGGTGGTCCCGTGGAGTTCTGGTCCCATGAGGTCCAAACCCAAAAACCAGGTTCCCTCAGAGTGAAACGGTTCTGGACTCACAGCAGAATCATTTCTCATTTTTACTCGTTTTTACTCGAGGATTTTAATGATTTTATTACTTTCATAGTTTTTAATGTTTTATAGTTTTATTGTTCTTTTTACATTTTTCTTAGTTTAATTCTCAAATCAGCAAAAATATTGAATCAACAGAAAACCTACTTTGCTGCTTCATTTTGATTAAATGAATAAATAATAATAAATCTTTGCTTCAGCTCCAGACAGGAAGGTTAAAATCGTGACACTGAGGAGTGAAGGAGCTAACTGTTTGCTAACTGTGAACCATGAAGAGTCATGATGCTGAGGATCTTTTTTCTTCCTCCTCAGAAAGCAGGTGGCGACAGTGGAGAGGAAGGAGCCTCCTTAACGAGGCAGCCAGAAGACGCTCTGACCATTTGGAACAGGAAATGATGCGGCTGCTCGTCTGTCCGCCATGTTTTAGACGAGTCTCTGTTTCAGCATCGAATCAAATGATCATGTTTCCTCCTCAGCAGCAGCATCGCATTTAAAACGATGATCCTGTTTTTATCAGAGATGCCGAGAGTGCTGAAAAGAGCCATGCTGCCCTCTAGTGTTCACTCCACACTAAGCAGCTGCTGGCAGTCCATCCATCTCTGCCTCCATCAGCATGAATCCATCCAGACCGGATCGCTCCTCAGAGACGGTTTCAGTCTGACGCGTTTTAAAGTTAATATTAGATTTGTTCATTTATTTAGTTTAGTTTATCTTCTGTGGAAATAAAGCCTGAATAAAAGAAACTTTGCACCAGATTCACTCTGCAAAATGATGGAGTCTGGTTCTTTAGCAGCTCTAAGGTTCCTCACCTTTTCATTAATGACCCGGTTCATTTCATCTAGATCTAAAACATGCAGAACAGCAGAAGGTTCATTCTACTGGGTGGATTGTCCCTCATAAGGAAACGAATGTGACCCACAGGAACCTGCAGAATAAAAGCTTCAACCAGATGATCCATCAGTTCCTGCTTTCATTTGGATTAGAAGAAATGAATAAAAAGTTTAACATCTTGACATGAATCAGCTGCAGTTTGTTATTTTTAATAAAAAGGACATTTTCATTTATTATAAAGCAGAACTGAAATAATTTTAAATGCAGCATATTTAAGTTTTAATATTTAATCGAGATCTTTTCCCTACAGCTTCATTTCTGCTGTTTCTCATATTAACACTTATTATAAATATAAACTTCTCTAATGTCTCATTTTTCCAATCGACAACAAAAACATTTAAAGCATAAAACGAATAAGGTTTGTTTTATTATAATTACTGCAGGGGTTCCTCCAGTAGGGGTCAGGGCCCCTGGGGGCCGCGATGGTTTTCATATTCATGGTGATCTGATCCTCGAGGTTTATGGAGGGCAAAAATTAATAAATATGAAAATACCACACATAGTTTTAAGTTATATTTGTTTATTCTAATACATCATTTAAATATTAAACACACAATTAAGCAATTAAACACAGAAATAATTACATTTCAAATTAAATATTCCAAAATGATTCACTTTATATTTATGAATAAAATGAATTGTTTCATTTTTGGGCCACAGGATGAACTCAGTAACTTCTGACCAATCAGAAAATATTAATCAGAAATCTTTGGTTTCATGTTTGCTGAAACTTTACATGTTTCTAGCAGCTATGGAGATGATGATGATAACAGGAACCAACTCCATCCTGCAGAAGGATGGAATCCAGTTCCTCCAGAGCTACAGGAGGACAAACATGGTCCTGCAGTGACACCAAGAGGCTGCATCCAGTACTACAGGGTTCAGCTTCACTTTGAAATGAAGGTTTTCTGCCCTTATGAGGCTCCAGGTGGAGAAGATCATCAGCAGTTTGAGGATCATTGGGTGAGAAAATAATGAACATTTAAATTAAAATGATTCTATAGAAGAAAAGTGGAAAAAATTCACATGTTCATTCTTCAGTCTAAGTTATTATCAGCCTGATCAGGGAAGGATCAGCTGTACCACTACCAAACCTCCACTAGATGTCGCCCTCCACTGAAAACAGCAGATATCCCAGTTCTTCCTTTATTTAGAAGTTCAAACCCAGAAACCAAACAGTCGCTCTGAGCTGAAGGAAGGAATGAACATGACAATAGAAATAAATGTCCTTTCTAACTGGGTGACACAAAATCTCTGTGTAATAATTAACATGTACAAACTGACACATATTACGCATTTTTAAGAATTAAGAGTAAAGCAAACAATCAACCTCATATAAAGTTTATATTAATTTGGCGACACAAACTGTTTACCTCACAACTTAAAGGAAATTATCATTCAGAATAACAGATATTTCAACACTAAAGAACTACATCAGTTAAAGTCCTATTAGATGGTGATGAAGCATAAATAAAGGCCACGGAAATAAAAATAAAGAAGAAGACAGGGAGGGGGGGTCAATCAGAAGGGAGGGACTAAAGAGGATGGAAGAACGCCATTTGTCATAACATTGATCAGAATGACCTTTGACTGAATATCTGATCCCAGCTTCAGAAAGGAAATGCTGCCGTTGAGCCACTGGGTCCTAGAAGGAGCTGAATTCCACTTCCAGTGCAAAGAAGGCAGCGTCTTACTGGTAATGAAGTAAATGCAGCTCTAAATCCTCTTTAACCAAAGGTCAAGTTTTCATTTTCACCCTTTGTTCTTATTCTGTCAGTGATGCAGGATTTCTGAGGGTTTTCTGGTGAGAGCGTGTTTCCATGGCGACATTAGGGTCACCTGGAGGTGGTGAGCCCACAGACACACAGAGACTTTTAAAAGCAGAAATACTGAACCTAGAAAGTCCTTTTGTAGTTTAAATATAATTTGTGTTTAGTTTGTGTTGCTGCCTGCTCCTGCTGCACCATTTCAACTGGATGCAAATGGCCAACCATGCAAACCATGCAGTGACGTCAATGAAAGGCTTCTAGCAACATTTAGACACTCAGAGCTACTTTGATCACTCAGTAAAGGTTTTAAATCACAATGAAATCTGAAGCTAGAAAAGCTCCTTTTCCTGGAGCTTTATTGATGAACGGCTGCAGAGCTGCTGACCAGGTCGTGAAGCCAATCAGTCACCCGGTTCTGTTTAGGAAAGCTCCGGCTCTGGCTGCTCCTCCGAGTTTAAAAGGACTTTTCAGACATTTGATTTTCTCTTTGCCATGAAGTAATCTGGGAAAGATCCTCAGACTGTGGAAGAACCGCGGTTCTGGTGCTATTGGACCTCAGTGCTTCATCTGACACTGTTGATCACTGCATTCTATCAGAGCACCGGGAAAAGTGGGTCGGCCTTCTGGTCCAGAACCAGACTGGTTTAAATCCTCCTGAAGGAGGGAGACCGTTCAGTGTTACTGAAGGTCTCCATCAGAACCAGTCCCCCAGGGCTCCACCTCAGGGCCCCTCCTGTTCAGGATCTCTATGCTCCCCCCGACTCAGAACTGCATAAACATCAGTTACCACAGCCTACCCATAAAGGATAATAAAACTATTTCTATTCAGCTCTATTCTGTTACTCATAAAACACATCGACACGTTGAATAGCATCAGTTTTATTCAGTGAATTAATGACATTCTCTGGTTGTTCATCACAGAAACACCTTCTGATATTCTGAGGTGGATATTTAACACTTCAGGTCTTCATGAACGATTCAGTGCCTGATCTATGTTCACAATTTCTGTACTAGAAACAGTCTTAAGCCTCAGTGAAACCAGGACAAGAGACCAGATGAAGACCGAAGGCAGAATATAGAAGCAATCAGTTTGTGTGATTCTGCTTCTTCTGTGACTGTCACTACCCGATCCGAACCGGAAACCCGTTCCTTAGTGGAAACCCGATCCGTACCGGAAACCCAATCCGTAGTGGAAACCCGATCCATAGTGGAAACCCGATCCGTAGTGGAAATCCGATCCGTAGTGGAAACCCGATCCATAGTGGAAACCCGATCCGTACCGGAAACCCGATCCGTACCGGAAACCCGATCCATAGTGG